AGATAGAGAGGAGGACAGGAGAAGGTCAGAGAGAGAGAGATTCTGTCTTCTGATGCCTGAAGTGCCCCAACATTATAACAAGGGCTGTAAGAGTTATGTGCTGGGGACTGTGGATGAAAACCAATATATATATCACCACAGCTGGGACCCTGCATAGGCAATAGCTTTACTCTCTACTGTCTTTGAAGAGCGTAGACCTTGGATTTCTCTTGCAAGCTTTGATGCTTCATCTATGGTTATTGGGCCAGGGTGTCTGTGGAGGTCCATTTCAATGTTAAAATAATTGAAATCCTGGCAGAAAGTTTGGTAGCATACAAATGGACTAGTTCACCTTAAATCAGTGGTTGTCACTGAGAAAATAGTGTGAAATACTCTGGTTCGCTTATCCATTGCTGCATGAAAAACCACCTCAAAACGTACCAGTTTAAAACAACAACTATTTTGTCTATTTGCAATTCTGTCGGTCAGCATTTTGGATTCAGGCCTGTCTTAGCTCTGTGATGTCTGGGAACTGGCTGGAAAGGCTTCACCTGAGTCATATGTCTGGAGCCTCAGTTAAGGCTGTTGGCTGGTTTCCTCAGCTTTCCTTTCTGTGGCCTACCCATGAGGATAGCTTAGTCTTCCTCACAGCATGGTGGTCTCAGGGGAACTGAACTGCTTGCATGGTAGTTGGCTTTCTAGAGGGGGCATCCCAAGAAGATAAACCCCAACATGCAAGTGTTTACTAAGCTGCTGCTTGTGGCATGCTTGCTGATGTTCTATTGGTCAAATGGAATCACAAACCACATTCAGAGCGAACGTGGAAGGCACTGCAGAAGGGCATGAGTGCTGGTGGTATAGACTTACTGGGGCCACCAATATCTACGGGATGCTCAGAAAATTATACCATTATTCAGTATACATTTGCTCTTGTGAAAGACTAAATAGGTGCATGTGTAAATAGGGTACCATATTGCTTAATGTCCATAAAAGGTATTGTTGGAATTATGTTATTGTTATCCCAAAGAAATGGCATGCTATGTTATTTCATACAGGGTAAACTTTTAAAAATATCTATGCTAAATATAATCTGTGTTATATAATTTGTAAAGAGAACCAAAAAAATCCAATCTTTGGTACCTGCCTCTGGCTTATTTTTTTCCTTGCAATTATTGGCATTTTTATATGTATATTGGTTCCAACTTAAGAGTGCATATCTTAATTTGGCTTTTCCATAGTTTATATACTTAGAATTGTTATTTTAAATTTTCTATGAGTTTTAAAAAATATATGATGTTTTCTTTAATTCTGATGTTTCTGTACATCAGAGATGCTGGAATGAATAGGAACAAGACCTAAATCCTGGGAGGGCTCAGCTGATTTTTCTAGTCTTCAGCTTCCTCATCTCTCAAACAAGAACGTTCAATCAATAGATTTCCATGTTTTCATCTAATACTAATATCTTTTGATTTGAATTTACATGTAATGCCTTGATTAACCATTCGAGAAATATAATAGTTGCATTTGGGAAATATTAAATTAATTCAATATTTTTTAAGAAAAAACTTGCTTTTGTGTTTCCTAAATTGATTTTTTGGCTGGGAGTGGTGGCTCATGCCTATAATCCTAGCATTCTGGGAAGCTGAGGCAGGAGGATCCCTTGAGCTCAGGAGTTCAGTACCAGCCTGAGCAAGAGTAAGACCCTGTCTATACTAAAAATAGAAAAAACTAGCCAGGTGCGCCTACAGTCCCAGTTACTTGGGAGGCTGGGGCAGGAGGAATGCTTGAGCCCAGGAGTTTGAGGTTGCACTGGAGCTGTGATAATGTCACTGCACTCTACCCAGGGTGACAGAGTGAGACTCTGTCTCAGTTTAGTCACTTGGATTAGAGATGTTTTCCCGATGATTCTCTTATTTGCATACATTACTATTTTACTTGGCTGAGAAAAAAATCTAAGAGGTAAAGGAAACGAGGAGGCTAAAATAACACGGCAAAGTTTCATCATGGAAACTTATTACAGGGGCGTAATACTTTGCCAAGATATTTGATTAAGCACCTGGAAGATAGCTTACTGGACTTAGGTGGAAGTATTAAATACGTATGCAGAGTTGTGTGAAATACTTTTTGACGTGAAGTATTCATCTTACTTCCAAGTTTTTATTCAGCTGCAGTTCCTGGAAGCAGTTCTCTACAGTTCTGCAAAATGAAACTCTGATCATGAGCACTTGGGAGTGACATGAAGGAGGTTCTTATTTTTGTATTAGTTGTCATGAATTTCTATGGAATGTATAAAAAGTTAGTAATATGGGGAACATACAAACAAATAATAAAGTGCTCACCTGAAGCTACTGAAACAGTAGGTTCTCAGACTTGGCTGGACATTGTAGTTGCTTGAGAATATTTAAAATATATTGATGCCTGGGTTTCAGCCTTCAAAAATCTTGATTTAATTGGTCCAGAATGTGGCCTGGACATTAGAATTTTCATATCTCTCCAGGTGATCCCAAGGTGAGCCAAGTTTGAAAACCCTCCATGCTAAGTATGCTTTCTTGAGTCCCTTTCTCTTACCCACATTTTGCTGCCATAATTCAAGTCCTTGCTCCCATCTTGGCTTTATGACTTCTCCCCCACTGTACAGTTGCTACAATCCTTAATAATGGATGTTTATAAAGTTTAGATCCAAATTCCACACATCATCAATAAGGTGGGTGTGTAAAAATAGTAGCAGGCAAATGAGTCTAGAAAGGCGTGTATTTGATTGGATTGAGCAATATTAGCTGTGTCTATCCACTCGGCCCTTTTATGATACTGTGGGCAAATATGTTGACATAAATCTTAAATTCCAAATTAATACTTTATACTTCTCTGGACGAGCCGACTATTTGTTTGCTTGGATTTTGGGCAATAGAATGATGATTGCTATTTATTCAAAGTGTTTCTGGAATGAAAACAGTAGAATTTATTACCACCTCCTTTATGTGGGTTGGGTGTGCGCCGGTCAAAACCAAATACAAACAAAAACTTCTTTGGGTGGTAACTCACCTGAACACACTAATCGATTTGTAATTTTGAAAGATTTTTGGGCTGATTTAAATGTGAGAGAAAGGTTATTCTATGTTACCTAGAGCCCCAAATCATGGAATTGTCTCTTTATTGAGGTGAATGGTTTAATTCTCCCTACTTGCCTCTTCTTAGTGAAACAGAGGCAATTCCTTATTTATAGGGTAACCAGCCACTCCAGTTTGTCTGGGACTGAGCAGTTTCCTGGGCCAACTGGGATGAGCTGGTCACCTTCATTGATACTGTGAAAATTAATAAGACTTTAGAAGATTTTAGGTCCTTGGATAAAAAATTATTCATATGTTATGATTTACTATTACCAAATCATATGCAATCTATGATTATAAATGGAAGGTTTAGTGATTGTTTTCTGGGTCTGATGTTATAATTTTCTCTTCAGTTGGTCATTTTCTTCTTGAACATTCTTGAAAAGATTTTCTAGTAGTGCTCAAACTTCACCTTGAGAAAAATGTGTATTTTATGCACATTTTCTAGATTTTAAGAAAGAGGTAATAATGTCCAAAACAGCAGAATGTATTGGTGCTAAAATAGAGAAAAAATCCATTTTTTACATCTGCCTTGAGATTATAGTACCCTATTAACATGTGATTCTCTTTAGTAGAATGAAAGAGAAAAAGAGAATTAATAAAGTCTAATATGGATCCATCTTTGCCCAAAATAACATCAAAAGGCGCCACACACAAATACTGTGCAAAGAAAACTCATTGAAGATGGTTGTGTATTAATTGTTTTTGAGCCTTTCTGAAATAATCACACAGTAAAGATAAATTTATAATTTTACACCAGGTGATTCATATATTTCAGTCAAATCAATAATATGTTTTTGCAATGATGTGGTTGTTATCTTGGATTCTTTTTGCCTGATTTCAGATTGTTAGGGTCTGGTTTTCTATTCTTTGGGCATTAAGGATCAGAAACACTAATTGTTGCCTTAAAGAGAAGATGAATCCAGTTTTAACAGATGACCAGTTCAGAAAATATCAAAAGCAGTACTTTCCAAGAGAGTGTTAAAACACAGAGGCAATATGTGTGTGTGTGTGTGTGTGTGTGTGTGTGTGTGTGTGTGTGTATGGCATTGCCAATGTGTTAGATGACAAGGGAATGAAATTACACCCACTTTTAGTTAAGCGACTGTTACAGGAGTCAGTAGACCTGGATCTAGATGCTGCTGCACCCAGTCAGTGAGTGTTTGAATAAAGGCTTTTGCTGCTCTGGCCCTCAGTTTATTTGTTTGTGAAATGGGAGGTTTTGACTATCCTATGCCCTTGGTCTCTTAAGTTGTTAACATCTTATAATTCCATGTACATCATACTGATGATGTCTTAATGGATACGTGGAGATTACTGTCCCCTTCTCCAGGGCAGCTCCTCTGCACCAGCCCCAGAACAATGACCCACACTCCTAGGATGTGAGAAAATGGCATGTTCTTCAGAGGGCAGAGGGACAGAGGAGGTTTAGGCACTGATGATAGCTCAACATAACACTCTGGATCTTAATATTTGCAATTTGGATCTTGGATGAATCACTTCCTCTTTTAGGGTCTTAATATTCCTCTGTAGTGAGGATTTTCATTTTTCTGACTCTCATTTTCTAGCTTTAAATCTCTTTTAAGCCCTTAAACTTTTTGTCTTTTTTAAAAGTGAGATGGAATAATTTTGGGTCATCTCATATTCCCAGTGAGGCTTTCTGGGCTTCCTTTTCTCTGTTTCTTTCCGTCTCTTCCCTCTGGCAGAAGAGGGACTGGAGAGCCCCATGGACCACATCTCATGCTTAGGTTGCATGGCTTCGGGGTGACAATGCTGCCCTGTGTTTGGCTGCCGTGGGTGTGTTTGAAGCATTAAGATCCCTCTGGATCTTTCACCGACAATGCCCTGAGGAACCCTCGTTAGGATGAGACATTGGGGTGCTGTCTTGCCTAATGATATAAGAAAAAGACATGATGCAGCTGGTCTGGAGTTTTATTGGCTACAAAACTGATGCACAATGGTGAGAATCTGAAGATTATAGTAGGAAAGTAGAGCTTTAAACTCATAAGCTCATACTTAGATTCAAAAAGTGCAATATATTAAGAGCATTATGGGAAATCTGGTGAGATTGTTAAAGAGAAAAAAAAATGAAAGTTTCTGAGTTTGATACCTCCAAGGATACCTTTTAGGACTCACTCATTAGTATCTGGGTGGGGACTTTCCATTGGGGGAAAATAGTTTTTATAACAGGCAGAAACTCTCCTTGTCCTCATGCACACTTTTGGATCTCGTTCACTTGGGAAAGGATTATTCTTCCGTTGACGCTCTCCTGTGTGATGGCCTTGATCGTTGGAGCTGCAGACGCTGAGGGAAGGAGCACCGGAGAGGTCACTGACATGCTCCCTCCACCATTCGAACCGTGCTCATTTGGGCTCCCTGCCCTCAGCCCCTGAAGGCTCTGTGCCTTCCAAAATGATCACCAAACAGTGTGGTGGGCTCTGCTGCAATGACAAGGAATCTCCCCAAGAAGGGTTTTTTTCCTCCCACTCTCCAGGAAATGAGGGTCTCTGAACAGTATCACCTTCTGGAGGTCGAGACCTTCATCCTTGGTGCACCAGATTCAGAATCTAGTCTCTGACCACAAGCACTGGAGGAGTCCCTTCTGCATGTGTGGGCTTCGTAGCACTTGCACCACAGAGCCTATGAGCTTACAGAACACTAAATGCCATTCGGGTACGTCATTTTAAAATCTAGAAAGCGTGCCATGTGAGGGGTAGGCAATAAGGGAGGATGTTTATCATGGCTGTGTTCAAAGATAAGACTTACGTGAGTAAGTGCCTTGTTGCCACATCAATAAACCAATTCTAGACCATAGGGAAGGATTGAAACCATTAACAGAGATACAAGGGAGGACTTAATTAAAATTCGAACCTCTCTAACAGAAGACTGGGCCATCCCATAGAGGAATGGGTCCCCATCCTTGGGGATGTATAAGGAGAGGCTCAAAGACTTTTCCGTCATTCCCGCAGAGGGATGGAGTTAGACCAGCTGTGATGATTCCTCCAACTTTGATTATTTGTATCTCTAATGCCTTAGAACTGGTTTACCACAAACTAATCAGAAAGTAACACCTGTCCCAGACTCTGTTCTGCTGGAATTTTCCAGTGAGATATTAAGGGTAATCTGAGAAAATAAGTTTCCCAGGTCAAAGATGTTTGGAAGTACTGGGTTAAACAAAGTAAAACTTTTGCCATTGTTACTTTCTCTGTCTTGTTCCTTTTCTTCCTCAAAGCAGTATTTATTCCATCTTTAACACTGAAATGCAACACACCTGCTCAAGAAGAGGGTAATGGTACCCAGTATTTCCAACCCTTTGTGGCCATAGAACTCATCTTCCGTGATACTCTATTCGCATCTCATGGAACACTAGTGCTCAACAGAATAGAGTTGGGAAAATGATGTGAAATCATTTCCACTTAATTTCCTAGAGGGGTTTAGGTAATAAAGATATAATACTATTAATTATCATTTGAATCTTCTTTATTGCTTGTAAAGAGCTTTCATATATATTGAGGACAATAATGAGAGCTCACTTCATTCTGTAGTACCTAATTTGTTAACTGAAAATTCCTGACCATTTGGGAGTGAAATAAATCTTGAACACAGGACAATTGGGAGCACACTAAGGATTATGACTACTATAGAGTGGCTAAACATGCCCATTCATTAAAAAAATAGATTCAAACAATGAAAGAAATTTTTTTTTACCTTTCATGCACGTCTTAGATTCTTCCATTGTCCTATAAAAGTGATAAAGATTAAAACACACTTAGTATTAGCAACAATCCTAAAGACTCAGAATGAACTAGCTTCGTTTGCCTGCTTGTAAATTCTCAGCTCCTTAATGAGGATAATTATCTGAGCTTAGCAGTCTCAAGGTCATGAGTTAATGGGAGAAGCTCCCGGATCCAGAAAGGCAGTGAGTACCTCCTCTCACTAACCCTGGGGTCAGGGGAGGTCCCACCTAACCATGACCTCCTTTCAAAGCTGCAGGCTTTGCCTCCACTGGGACCTCTTCCAGAGTGCAGGTCTCAAGCTTGGGAACCCTGAGCTTCTCAGATTGTTCAAGGTTTGGTCTGATGACATTTTATTTATGTATTTTTTTAAAAACTTCTAACTAACCGTTCCTCTTGGGCCATAGAATGTATGTGCCCTTTATGTGGCCAAGGATTGTAATTTCCTTGGGTTGTCAGAAATATCATACTGAAAATGTAGACATGTCAATGTCTTAGGAATATTTTCTGCCGTTAAGCTAAAACCTTCCTCATCTTCTTTTTTGGGAGCCAAAATTGTGCTCATTCCCACGGGGAAACACAATAGCCAAAACCTTCTTAGTTATTTTCTTCCAGAGATTTTAATATACTAATTTTAACTGTTTTGACTGCAAATCTCAGTGTCCTAGGAGTGTTAGCTGATTGATTCACATTTGTTGCTTAATTAATACCACCTGATATAGGTATCTTCTGGAGAAATTCAACATAAATCTTTCTTTATTGCTAGCAGAACCTCGCAGGGACAGAAACACACACCCGGGAGCCCTTTGCCTACTCCTCTCGTGCCGACTTCGCCTTACCCTTCGCGTTCTCCCTCCAGGAGCTGGCGGTAGGTGGTGATTTCCTTCTCCAGGTGGGTTTTGATGCCCAGGAGCACCTTGTGTTCGATGTTCTGGCGCTCAAGGTCATGGCGCAGCTGCATCAGTTCCTCCTCATAGTGGGAGATGATCTCTTGCATGTCCTGGAGCTGGCAGGAGTACCGAGACTGGGTCTCTGACAGCGTGTTTTCCAAAGCAGATTTCTGAAAGAAGAAATGTTACTGCTTTCGTTAACTGACTGATGGCTTGATTGATCCAATAACACGTGCTTGTTGAATGCTCAGCATATGCCGACTACTCTTCTAGGTGTCCTGGTGGCTGCTGGGAACACCAAGATGACAGGTAGGCTGACTTATAGCTTGGGACTTTGGAAGCCCATTTTCTGCGCATAAAACCGTTGTATCAGGGTGCTCTTGGCAAGCCCGTGGCACTCCTGGGAATGAGGAATCTGCTGCCTTGTTCTGAACCGTTCTTCACTTCCTATGCTTACATTTCCTCTCTGGCTAGATCAAAGACTCCCAGAAGGAGATAGCAACTGGGACTGCTGTCTTCCTATCTTCAGAGAAGGGTCTCAAGTAGGGATGCCAGATAAAATAGAGGACATCGAGTTAAATTTGGATTTCAGATGAGCAATGAGTAATTTTTTGGTGTTATGCATGTCCCAGATATTGTTCCAATATTGCATGGGACATACTTATACTAAAATAAATCTTTTCTGTTTATTTGAAATTCAAACTAAACTGAGTGTCCTATATTTTAATTGGGGAAATCTGGCAGCCCTAGTCTCTGGCAATGCATTTTGATTATGACAATGGTAACACATTGTCATTTTAAAAGAAATTCTAAAAGTTGCTAAATGAAGTTTCTGGGCTAGGATACAGAGGTCTGGGTTCAAGTCCTGGTTCTGTTTGGATTTGGCACCTGCTTTTCTGGAGCATTTAACTTTAATCTTAAAGAGAAACTCTTAACTGTGTTGGACACTCTCACTTTATCATGGCTGCTAGTTCAGGGGGGCCCCTGACGCGTTTAAACTGGCAGTTAGACCACATTTCCTGGTCTAGTCACTCTCCCATTCTCCCAGAGGGCTAAGTTATGCCTTATTCTCTGAAAGCAGTTACGACAGGACTCCCTCTAGATCCCCCATTATTTCCACCCACATACTCGAATCGTGTCCAGGTACTCACTTCCCTCTGGTTATTACACATGAGCTGTCTGTGTTCCGGCCATTTCAGCAATTGCTACCCTTCTTGCATCATCAGTGTTCTCCTCTCTACTACATCATTCCCACCAGATGTCAAATAGAATAATTCCTCCCATCTTACAACTGTTCCCTCCTGAAGCCATATCTACGTTTGGCTATTGTCCAAGTGCTCTGCTCCCTTTCACCTACAGCAAAGCTCCTCTGAGGCTCGTCCAGACTTGCTGTTTCGAGTTCCTCTTGACCTCCCTCCAAAGTAGGCTAGGAAGCCCCACACAATCTGGCTCCACTGTGACCCCATGACCTCACCCTCCTCTCCCTCCCTTCTCCCAGCCACGTTCCTCTTCTCTGCTTTCTTCCTCCCTTTCTTCACTCACTGCAGCCCCACTGGCTTCCCTGCCGTCCCTCCAACTCACTGGCCACACTGATGCCTCGTAGCTTTTGCATTTGTTGTTCCCTCCTCCTGGGACCCATCCATAGCCACAGAAGCCCCTCCTCATCTCTGTTAGGTCTTTGCTCACTGTCACCCTGACAGTAAAACCTTTCCTGAATCTGGCAGCTCTTCACTCTGGCACATCTTACCTCCTCCCATCCCTCATTTCTTTGTAGCAGTTTTCTCCATCTAACATATATTTGGATGATTTGCACATTTACGATCTGTCACTCCCACTAGAATATAGACTCCTTCATTACCGAATCCTCTGTGCTAAGAATACTGCCAGATAGCAGCATGCATGAAAATAGGCATACATGCCTTGCCCACCTCACAGGGTCATTGTGAAATAGTGTTATGTTAAAATACTTTGAAAGCTGCAAAGCACTATAATTATTTCTGTGCTCATTATCATTGCCTCTATAATGTACATTTTTAAAATAGACTCACAGCCAAGACACAGTGCACATTTTTAATGACGGTTCACCATCATTGATTCATGAAACATAACAGTAATTTGCCATGTGCATCTGGAACAAAAATGAACAAATTGTTTCCTCTCAAGACCAAGGGTAGAGTAGCACTCAGGAATTATATTGATGAATGATTAGAAGATTCAATAGGCTATAAAGGGAATCAATGATAGACCTTATTTAATACATTTTAAATGCTTATGACACTCATACAAAGCATTTTCCTAAACCATGAGGATGATAGAAATGACTTGGACATAAGAACTTACTCACATGCATAATGAATAGAGCAGTACTTTGGAGGTAGCCAGAACTGGACTTGCCACCTACCATGTTGACACCAGAATTTCTTTATTTAGGGGCAGCCTGGTTGTAAGTGGAGAGGGCACTGACAGAGATTATAAGGGTTCAGAATCCTCCCCGCAAAACACCACTGGTTTCACCATTGATCACTTATTAGCTGTGTGACCTTGGCCAATTGACTGTTGAAGCTTCGGTCTCCTCATCCCTAAAATGGGGACACTAAGACTTACCTGGAAAGTCAGTGTGAGAATTAATGATATTTAATACAATGAACCACTTCATACGACATTTGGCACCATGTGGACACTCAATACGGAGTAGCTCTTATTATCATTCTCATCATGAACAATTTGGATGGAAAGTGGAAAATGAGAGATTGTCTCAAGGAATCTGGAGTGTTGTGGCCTGGGAGAGAAATCAAGGAAGGCTTGTTGGAGGAGGTGATGTGGGACCCAGGATTTTCCTAGCTCTGACTCACCCTGTGGTACTGTGCCTGCAGGTCAATCTCTAGGGCCTGGAAAGTGCGCTTTAGTTCATGGATGTCACTTTGGCTTCTCTGAACAACCACTGGACTGGCCGCCTCCTGGGATATGGCTGCTGACTGTGGGAACAAGAGAGACATAGGGGTCAGCATTGGGGCCACATGGCAATGGAACCTTTGGGAAGTTGGGCAACCTGTCTTTTACCTGCTCTTTATACCAAGTGTCCAAGTCTTGGTGCTTCTTCTTTATTATAAGCTCATATTCTTGCCTCATATCCTCCAGGATCTTAATCAGGTCTTCCCCCGGAGTTGTATCCACCTTCACATTGACCTTGAAGTCATTTGGCACATGATGCTCCTCCATTTCCTGTTTAATAACAGAGAAAGCAAACGAATCTGTTGTGACGATCACAAGGCTGGATTGTTGTGTTGATTGGCAGCAGTTAATGGATCTCTCAAAAATTCAGCTTATGTGGTTGCTACACTTTTGCTAGTTTGGTTTGGTTTCTCGGTTATTACTTTTTGATGACAAAACATCATATGCATTTTTTCCTCTAATAATTTTACAAAATAAAGAATAGCACAAGACAGGTAATTGAATAGACTCTGTGATTACTGACTTTGTCCCTGCTTGAAAATATTTCAGAAAGAATTATGCTTGCACAGTGTGCAAAGTCCTCTTCAGCAAATGTTCATTGGTGAAGTGACTACACAATTAAGCAGCTGAACATTTCAGGTTATACACCACAGCTTTTAGGAAACAGTTCAGTACACAAAAGCCAGAAAGTGTAGTGGCTTTCAAAATCTTGTCAATGCCTTATGACTCTGCAGGGCTGACGCCCATAGGATTTCACGAAAGCCAAGCAGCCACAGGAAAGGTTTAATTAACAATCATTGTCTAACCAGCTATTCAGAAACTGGGCTCTTTGATGTTCAGAGGCAATTTTGTTTGCCTAAAATGGGAATTGTTTTTCTATCATTTAATCAGAGTCTCAGGGACTTGAGATGGATGTCAACTTTTTAAAAGTCAGTTAAATGCTTCTGGAAATCAGAATTCTTAATTTTTGCCATGAATCTTATTTATCTTGGTCTGTAGCAGACTCTGTTTATTCTATTGTTCCCCAATTTGCTGCATATTAGCTCAATGAGGGAAGTTCATTCTCGCACATTTATTCTTACAGTATCGTATTAACAAATACATCTAAGTAAACATTGTGTAACAAAACTGTAGACCAACTCATCATTAATTATAATCATATTTTGGTTGTCATATTTGACATGTGAATAAACTTGACATTGGAAAAATTAAATATTTATTATTTATGATTATTTAGGTTGAAGGACACTAAGACTGGTATGCAGGTGGTGGTTTCTTCTACAGCTATTGAATTGTCTTGAAACGTGCAGGTGAAGAGCTGTGCTCATTACCAGGTCCCCAGGGGAGGGTCCTACCTGCTCGTGGTGCTTCTTCATGAGGATGAGCTCTTTCCTCATTCCCTCCACCTCCTGTTCCAGGTCTGTTGTGATGATGGTCAGATTGTCCAAGGTCTTTCGGAGGCCCTCAAGTTCAATTTCCAAGTCTTTCTTAAAAGAGTGCTCATTTTCATACCTTTGGTGAGAAGGAAGAGAAGAGTGCACCTGTTGTTGGAAGGCCATTGTCTTTGAAAGGATTCACCTTGATTTAGAGGTGAATCTCTTACTTTTTAGTTTAATGAGAAAAAATGAATACCTACAGGACACCTTTTCTATGTCTTTTTCATGCTATGCTTTTTTATGATGGTGACTCCATGTCAATTTTTACATCACGTAGGAAGAATAGAATAATAAACAACCATATACCCATCACCTGGGTTTAGCAACCTTTAGTATTTTGCCATATTTGCTTCATCTATATTCATTGCTGTAGTATTTCAAAGCAAATTATAGCTATGATGACATTGCATCACTAAATATCTCAGAATGTATTATTTAGGAAAAATACATTTTTTCTAAACAAATATTATATTTATCATACCTAAAATTAATAATAGATTGTTTATATCATCTAATTCTTGACTCATATTGAAATTTCCCCATGCTGTATGTTTCATATCTGGTTTGTTTAAACTAGGGTCCACTCAAGTACCACACATTGCATTTGTTGTTGCTTTGCCTTTTAATTATAAGATTTTAGATGTGGGTAATGGGAAGATAAGTTTTCTAAAGCAAACAATCAAAAACCTGCACAACACTGAAGAAGAGACGTACTTGAGGCTGAAGTCATCCACGGCCATCCTGGCATTGTCAATGAGAAGAATCATCTGAGCATTGCTCATCTTACCATCCACTATCTGTAAAACAGGCATTGAGAGTTATTTCAGGTGGACATACCCATACAAAATGACTGCATTTCTGTTCTCTAGTTTCCTGGGTATTTGACTTGTCAGTATAGACAATTTCTTTTTGTGGCAGTGGAATGATGAATAATAACCAAATCAATAAATATTTATTGAGCACATACTAGATACAAAGTGCAGAATGATTTTATAATAAGAATATGATGTGTAGTCAATTTCACTGTGTGTTTATTTTTTACATTGAGTTTTGACAGTGTGAGATGGCTATAACTGCTGAAAGAATGATGTGGGAAGGGGAAGGATTTGTAATTGTTCAAAATGTCTTCTACCTTTTTAGTGTTATGGACATGGCATAGCATTTTGCTTAAGCTCATTCACATCTGACGATATTAGGACTTTGGGTCCTGACTCTTTGCTTATTGTGACTATTAGTTCAGCTCTCTGAAAGCACAATAATAATTATTTTAGATGAACATAATTCTTATTAGTGATAGCATTCACATTTCCAATCAGTGTTACTGAGAAAAATTGACAAGCTAATTTTAAATGTATTTTATAATAGTCGTCACATAGCACAATTATTATTTTTTGCCCAAAGTGACTATAGCCATACACATAGCTTGTAGGTATGTGTATGTGTTTGTAACTTATTCTTTGATGAGAAGGTTCCAACTGTAGCTATTAAAATATTACTGAAATATTTCTTTATCATCTAATGAAGCTACTTAATAAGATGTAATGGTGATAAAGCCTCCTGTTAAAGACTTTTACTAGATGGTTATATAATTTTTTATCCTAAAAAGAAAAATATTGTTGAAAGTATTTACCGAGCAATTGTGTGTGTGTATGATTTGTAAATACTTCTAGGTATGTTATATGCAGAGAAATAGTGCACATGTGATGCATGTCACTGTCTTTCGGAAAATGGGGTAGAAGATGTCTCATTGTCAAAAGTATAATAATATTTTTGCACCAAGTATTGAGCTGAACTAGAAACTGGGAGCTTTTCTCTGTCTGACTCTGTTCCTGACCATCTGTGTGGATTGGAGCCAGTCAGTCCACTCCCTGGGCTTCAGTTTCATCACTTGTTAAATAAGGAGTTTGTACTAGAAACAGGTGACCTTAGAGGTCTTCGCTCTAAACTGTGATTTGGAGTCAGAGAATCCTGTGACATTCCCATTGTATTTATACAGTTGATTCCTTTATTTAGAAAGGATTTTCTTAGGACAAAGCTATAACTCAACACGAAGGCACCTTTTAAAAATCTGGTCCTATTTAAAGCTCCACTGATCACATGGAATTTGGTATCATGAATGCACAATGGCAGGATGCAGAGATGGCAGGAGCACTGGTCTGGAACTCAAAGAGCAGGGCCTGGGGTCCTGCCGGAGTGCTCACTAGCTGAGTGAGGTCGGCTGTGTTGCAGCTTCCTCATCTATAAACTGGCAATAGGGGCCCAGACTGGTGGCTCACGCCTGTAAACCTAGCACTCTGGGAGGCCGAGGCGAGCGGATCGTTTGAGCTCAGGAGTTTGAGACCAGCTTGAGCGAGAGCAAGACCCTGTCTCTACTATAAATAGAAATTATTTGGACAGCTACAAATATATAGAAAAATTAGCTGGGCATGGTGGCGCATGCCTGTAGTCCCAGCTACTCAGGAGGCTGAGGCAGGAGGATCGCTTGAGCCCAGGAGTTTGAGGTTGCTGTGAGCTAGGCTGACGCCACGGCACTCTAGCTAGCCTGGGCAACAGAGTAAGACTCTGTCTCAAAAAAAAAAAAAAAAAAAAAAAAAAAAAAAAGAAAATGGCGATTGGAATAGCCATTTCATCAAAGAGTCATGAGAGTTAGAAGAGATTAAATGAAATAATGTAAAACAGCATATTCTTGGCATATTATGCTCTGAAACATTAGTTGAAACTGAATTATTGTAGAAAAGTGTACATTATACAATTTTCTTTTTAAAAATCTAGCACTTTTGTAATTAGAGCCAATGACTGCATTGGATACATCCCCAGGTTTTATATGTTGAGATGCATCCTCAAACTTTTGCTATTTGTGGTGAGAAATAGCTAGGTTGGCTGCTCCAATTCCTTTTTCTCCTTATGGGATTTTCCAGATGGTATTATAACTTCTTCCTTTGCTCTCAAAAAGGATACTGTAGGTATTTCCTTGTCTTCCTATAATGCTGCTGGTGGGAATCCTTACTAATACTTTCCCCTCCAAATCCATTATTATTTGTATTATATAAGTACATTCAAAATGAAAGTAGCTCCATCCCAAAATGCCCAGGGGCCCCTGGAGTAAGCCTTATTCTCTTGTGCACTGAGTTATTGTATTTGACACATACTATGAGGTATTGATTGACATCCAGAGAAGCCTTGCCATATATACTCCACAGAATCAGAAAATAAAAAATACCATCTGTGGGCTTATTTGGCATTTCTAAGTTAAAGTGAGTTAAATTCATTGCAAAGCCCATATTAAACCAATGGTTTGGTTGATAGCATGTGAATGTGAGTTCTGAAATGTGCTTGATACAGAGCACATTTAAAACCATTTCCCACTGTTCAGACTTACTTGATAACAGTATTATGATATAACCACTATTTCTGAGATAATCTTCATGGTAATAAATGGATAAAGATGGATTGAAAAATAATATATGAGGCATAGCATTTGCATTGAATGTTGTAATTAATCACCTGAATGCTCCCCAAGGCCCCCGAGTTCCTTCTTTTGAAATCTAGTTGATATATTAGCACAGTATTGTTGCCTCAGGGTGTATGATCTCCTACCATGGAGAGGAAAATAGAATTTCTGACTGTAAACCAAAATGCCAAATACAGTTCTACTGAGACTCATTCAAGGAGTTTTATTAATGATGGCCCTATGGCTATGTATGAGTCTGGATTTCAGAAGATTGGATTAATTTTGAACTCAATTTCTTACTGTCTTTTTGAGTAACATTTACTATCTCTAGTGTAAGAGCAGAAGAGAGCTGTGCCTGCTCAGAGCACTTCATCAAGACCCGGGAAGGGGCAGCCCCAGGCAACTGTAGGATCTCTTTGGGCCTCTGTTTTCTCATCTGCAAATGGGGGAGGTTGGGATAGATGGAAAATCTCAACTTCAAAGGGTTGCTTTCTTCAAATGCAAAGAAAATGCAACATCTGAAGTAAAAATCCAGAAAGGAGTGGAATTTGAAACTGAAGAAGCTTCCTATTTAATGTCAGACCCCAGAATCCCTGGCCACCTGGAGAATGGGCAAGCTGCACGGCGCCCACCTCCCTGAATTGCACCCACTCACTTTCCTCAATTCTTTTCCCAAGACTATGGACAACCACTCGGCTTCAGTCTCCTTATCTGTAAATTGGGGATAAAAATATCTGCTGTGAGGATTAAATGAGATAATATGTATGAAATATATGTTGCATGATTAATAATGAAGATGTAATGCATTATCTTTATTAATAATGAGTATCATTTTTGTATGAGGTAGGCTGGTCAGCACCACACTGTAGTGGGATTTACATGGCCACTGGAAACAGAGCTGGGTTAGAATCCTGCCTCTGCCTCTCACCAGTGGCTTTGAATGGCTATTGCAAGTTCCTGAGCTCCAGTTTCCTTCCAGGGTTGTTGCGGGAATTAAATTAGATGATATAGAACACTTCCATCATTGCAGAAAGCTCTTGGACAGCGTTGCTATGTGTATTAAATACCCAATATGATTCCTGGGGATATAATAAGTGTTCAACAAATGTTTCCCTCCCTTTCTCCCTTTCTTTTTTTTTCTTCCTTTCTTCTGCTAGCTCCTAAATTCTTTGACCAGATCTAACCTCACATTTCTTTTGGAAGTCATGTTCTCAGCTCTCCATTTGTCAAAATATTCTATTCTCTCCATTCTAAAACCAAAGCAACTTTATTAAACAAAAAACACGATGAGGACTGTTGAGTCACCTTGTTTTTTTCCTAAAGACAACCATGCACTATATAGTTAAGGTAATTACACAGTCAGTTATTAGGTTGATTATTCAATAATTAGGGTTCATTACAAGGACAGATTTATATTATCTTGATTGGTCCTTCCTACATTCAAACAAGGATGACTGAGTGTTGTGAAATAATATGGTCCAAATATTGGAAACCTTCGATGCCCTTTCTAGGTTAGGTTAAATCATGATCTTACAAAGAATTTTCTGGGAGGGCTTAAAATAAGAGGAAAGTTAGGTAGCTTTAAAAAATAACCCATGAGAGGACTGGATTCCCTCTACTTCTAGCTAATGTTATGAGATGGCCCAGGAGGGATGTGCTTAGCTTTTTTTGATATTGGGTTAAAAAGTTATTTCTTTTATGAAGAAGATCTCCATAGCCCATCCCAACTCTAAAAGTCTAAAAATTATGCTCATTTTATTATTATTTGTTCTATCAATATACCATTGCCAGAACTCTGAGCAATTCTATCTTCTAGCAGCCCCCAGACAGAAATATACGGGGATGGCACAATGATCGACCTGCTGGTGGAGTGAAAACTTCTAGGTTTAATCTCCAGAATGGTATAACTCAGCCTTTTGTTGATGGACAACCTCCCTGTCGCCAGGACTTTGAGGTGGAGCAGAACTGATGTAATGAGAAAGTAAACAGTCTCTTGGCCTTGTGCATGGAGCATGCAACACGAATACCAACCCCTAGCATTACTCTGGCATTGTTGGGTCATAAGTGATACTGAACAGCAGCTGGTTGCCTCACATGTCTTGGATTTTTTTTTTTTTGCTGTATGAAAAATCAGGCAGTCTCATTTTAAAAATAATGTATAGTACTTTTGTAATTTTTGCTGCCTTCTTTTTCTACATAATTCACATATAGGAGATTCATTATACAAAACAGATTTTCCCAAGTCCAAATTTAAGGTGTAATAAGAAAATATCCTTAAAAACCTTTATGCACAATTACTTTAAGCTCTTCTGCTATTTTCCTGGAAACTGTCTTTTGTACTGATTTTCCCTCCTGGGGGTCCTCTGGCAATGCAGCCCCATCTCGAGCGCCAGGGTCACCCAGCATCTTACCTGCTCCTGCAGGCGGCTGACGTTTTCCTCGTATTGGGAGTAATCTTTCCTACTGCCAGGGTCTCTCTGCTGATGCCACTGCAGGATGCGGCTTTCAAGCTTCACGTTGGCCTCCTCCAGGGCGCGCACCTTGTCCAGGTAGGAGGCCAGGCGGTCGTTGAGGTTCTGCATGGTGGTCTTCCCGTTCCCACCCAGGAGGGAACTGCCTCTTCCAGGCCCCCAAGCCCCTCCATGGGGCCGGCAGCTTGGCGTGGTGTAGGAAAGGGAGATGCGGACACCCCCCGCACCGCCATGGACGCTGGGAGCCCGGGGGAAGCACCTGGCCTGACCCGAGCCACTGCCGGTTCCATGGAAGGAGGCCAAGGTGGTCTGCCTGAAGCTGTGGCTGGAGTTCATGGTCCCATCTGCGTTTGGGGCAGGGCTGGGCTCTGCTCCACTCCCGGGCACCACAGAAATGAGCCGCCTCAGACTGCCCTGATGGTTTTATGCCCTTTGCTGTGGGAGTTCCCTGCTCTGACAATTGTACCAACAAGATCATATCATTGTGCAACATGTGTTTCCTCTTGGTCAATGCCGAAGTGCCCCTGGGCCTTTACACACATTGTTGTTGTTTAGAACCACATCAATGTGACAGTTTGCTTCCTCCCTCCCAGTTGTAACCCGGAGGTGTGGCCCACGACATCAGGTGGGTATTAGTCTCAGGTGTCTTTCTAATCTTACCGTGGAGTTTTTCCATTGTATATTTATCCGAAAAGGGTCAGATCAAAGTCCACAAAAAGATTACTTGGTAGAGCGTAGATTATATTTTGGAAAACAGATATTAAAACCATAAATACACACATCCTCTCCCCACCCCGAGTAAACAAGCCCCAGCTTTAAAGCGAGGGTTCGGGAGACTCCTAAAGGAAGAGCCAGCTCAGAACAGGACGAACGTCCCGGAATAAAACTACTTGTGCTGAGGAAACAGAAGATTCTGAATATCTGATGTCTTTGTGGCAGTTGCTGTTTAATGGAAAGTAATTTCAAAGGACTTGCTCTTAAGAACAAACCCTCAATTAGAGTTATAATTAATTAATGAATGGCCGAGCCTTCTGCTGCCAGGGTGCCTTTCATCCCAGCACGCCTCAAAACCAAACAACTCTGGTCTGTGCTCAGGGGACGTCCCTTGGCCAGGGAGGAATGTGGCCGTGGTCGGCAGCCCGTCCCTGGCTGAGCTCCGCGATGGCCGGGCTCTGTGTCTGTGACCTGCAGAGGAACGGCGGAAACAGGAAATGTGCCATGGGTTGTCAAATGTGCTTGATGATCTTCCACTTTGTCTGCCAAGGTAAAGGTTAGAAGGAATAAAGAAGTAGTCTGGGGGCGGGGGCCTCGTGCTGGTTACTGGCAGCTAGATTTAAAGGGGACTTGGAAATAAAATGTCAGCGTAAGTTAAATGGAGGTGTACACTATATTTATGGATTGGAAGACTCAGTATTTAAAGAGGTACCTTCAGTCATTTACATCTTGAGGATGTTAAGCATACATTTAATGACATACGGTAGGTTTCAAGGTGGGATTTGAGTGGCAATACTATGTTGTACAGTAGTTTAGCACTTTGGCTGGGAAGTCAAGGCCTTTAGCCTTCCTGGGTCCAAGCCATTAATTTGAAAGATGAGGAAACTGAGGCCTGTGAGGGCTGGGTATGGTGAGGACAGACTATGGGTTGGAGGGAGAGCTGGGGCAGGATACTTTCTGCCACATAGTGCTATTATCTTGAGTTGAATCTTGACAGGGTCCTCTGTGGAGCTTCTCTCTCACAATGACAATGGGACTCACCAGTTGATGTAGCTCTTTGGTTTCTCTTTTTAATCCCTCAACAACTTGGTGTCGCTGGGCAAGGTTGTTGTCCCCATTCGGCAGATAGAGTCAGCAGCTCCTAGGGGCGAACAATTCAGAGCTGGTTTGTGTGCACAGTGTACTTGAGCTCATGAATTCTTATCTGTCACTGCCTGAGTCCGTACTGTCCCCTCTGCCTGCAAAGTCACTCACCCCTGCTTCTCCTGTAGTTCAAGAGTGACCTCTACCAACAATCGTTTCTGAGTCCTCCAGCATGTGTTGGGTGCCCCTTGTAGGGGGAAACTGCCTCTTCTGGATCCCAAGACCCTCGAGAGGGCAGACAGCGTGGCATCCCCACCCCAAAGTGGAAGCTGGGAGCCGCCGGCCAGGCCCAGCCACCTCCTGAGACTGGGATGACGTCCACCCTGTGCTTTCACCCACCCCTGCATTTGTCACAGGCCTCTGAGACTGCAGGCTTCTTGAAAGCAGGGATTACGCCTTCCATCTTTCAAGCACCAAAGTCTGGCTTCTTGTCAGCATTTTGTAAATGTGTGTTAACTCAGTAATGAACTTCGTAGAGTCAGGGTTTTAACTTAGGTCCTCTGATGCCATCATCTCCTGTTCCTTTTTAGGATTGAGTTATAGAACCAGGGAGTAGGAAAAAGCCTCTTCTGAGAGTGGGCCCGCCATCCACAAAGATAGAACTATTTCTAATTACAAATAAAACCACCCAAAGCACACCAGCCCTGCTATTCCTGCTCTTATGACAAACCTATGACTCCTATCAAGGAGAATCCTCTGGATTATTTTCATCTCTTCATGCACAAGCTGGAAAAATTTAGCCAAGACTCAAGAAAGCTTGGGGGAGTGCTTAGGAGTGCCCATGGTCACGTACACCTCCAACATGAGAAAAAGACAAAATGGAGACATGATATAAGGAGAACAAATGAGGGAGCCATAGAGACTTGGTTGGACATGTTGGGGCAAGCAGTGTTCTGATGCATGTGGATGGTTCTTGGTCATCAAGGTCATGGTCGGTTTTTGTTCACATGGGCCAGCCTCATAAAGGAAGACAGCATCCACTGCTAGCACAGGCAAGGCTGGGCTGCACACCCTTTCCCTATATTCTCCCACGAAAGTCCACGATGGAATTGATGTTTCCCTGCTCATTTCAGGTGTGTCTGAATGGCAGTGACTTAGCCCCATAAATTTGGCCCATGTCTCGTTGTATGTCAGTGTGTGGGAGTTTGATTTATAGGGGTTAACCTTGAGCAAAATATTTCTTGTATCATAGCAGGACCAGGGTAGGGAAAAACTGGTGGTGAGATTTGAGAGGAGTGGGGAGAAACAGTCTCTCCTAGTACTATCACACAATGATTGTCCTTATAACTTCTAATGTGTGGCGTTCTACCAGATTTTAAAAGAACACGAAAGTACAAGAAAAAAGATTAAAAGAATACACACCAATTCCACCACATAGACACAAACATTGGTGACATTTTGTGAACATCATTTCAGACACTCTTTGTGTACATGTTGGAAGACTAGACTAATTTTAGAAAAAGGAGCTCATACAATTTATTCTATTTTAGAAAGAAGTCAATTAAAATTTTTAAATTGGCAAATAAGAAACTAAAATGAATTCACATTAGTCATATGCTTTTTACAGGATTTTTAAACTTTCATCACATTCTTTTAAATTTTACATTTTTAAGAAGAGTAAAATGACCAATATTTGTGGAATCTCAGAACTAGGAAGAGGGACAATAAGAAGTCATTTGTTGCAGCTTTCTGTTTCTAGGGAGGTCAACAGCAGATGGCTGAATTTACTTCTAAACTATTTTTAAAGAACTCGAGGGATGAAGGCTACCACTGCTTTCTTAGTAAATGTCCAAGATTTATTTATTTTTTTGGTTAATGAGCATTTCACCTGCAATATGGTTTCATGACTTTTTTTTTGTATTTCTGTTGAGTTCAAATTGTTCAGAATTAGAATTATTCTCTTTTGTATGACCTTCTCGCTAAAGGATTTTTAAATTTTCACATTATTCACATTTGGTTCATCTTTCTGATGAACTGAGATGTCATTAAAAGGCAGTAGGTATTTTGTAGGAGAGGTTGGGTGGTGAGTGAATGAATGGGGTTGCATGCAGGGACTTCAGAGGTCAAAAGGGAGCCCTGACAACAGTTAGTGTCATTAGCTGGGAGCACAGTCTGTGCCTTTTAAAGATAATCACTCCATCACTGGATTGTTTTATAGGTACCTCTTCTTTATAGAGAGAGAGGAATGGCCAAAATGACTCCCAAATATATTTTTACTGTGCATGACATTTCAGAACAGATGAGCATTAGGTCTGCAGGCAACATTGCTATGTCCTATCCTGTGATTTGGAGGGTTACATAAAAAGATTAGGCACTCATAGAAATAACACTGCCTCTGCAGTGCCACCAGATTTGACATTTTATAACGACATCAGTTTATCAAACTGTGGCCAAATACAACAGAAAAAACCAATTTTCTCATATTTCTATTTTTTCAGGAAAAAGGGGCCAACAGATAGAAGATTTGCATTACAAAGTAGTCAGGACAGTATTTAGAACCAGGAGGAAAACAAGAGTCAACTTAATGTTGCTTCCAAATAGTATCTGTGTATGACATACAAGGAAAAATAATTTTAAAAACCATACATGAATAAAAAAGGTTTTAAGATCACAGAAGGAAGTTTTCTCAAAGGGTAGGTAATGAAACAACCATGGTAGGTACCTTTCTTAATTTGATTTTTAAAAGCAGGAAAGAATTAGCAAAGGATGCTGAGTTGTACAGGGTCTTGTAAGTGACCACCAAGGAAGAGTATTTGGGACCCTAAGAGAAAAGTTAGGAAATTCGAAGAGGCAAAAATATCAGAGTAAAGAAAGAACAAGCAGATTTCAATTAAATACGGTCTGTATTTATAGAAGCCAGACCAGCAGGTATTTATTAAGGTCCTAATCTGTATTAATATAGTTCTAAGCGATTTGCACACATGCACGAATGAAAGACGTTTGCTGCCTGTGGTGTGTGGTGAACGACTGCCTAGTTATCCCACCTCGTAGCTGTCAGAAAGCTTAAAGGCAAAGGCTGTGACTGAGTCACCTTTTAATTCCCCAGTATTTCCAAGTTATGGCAGGCCCTTGGTAAATGTTTGCTGAACTTGGTCTTGGGAGGAATAGAAAGCAGTAGTGGATTGTGGGGAATAGACTTAGTGAGATGGAAATGAGAAGAAAAGAAAGCTGATTTTTGAAAGCGATAAGCTCTCCAAAGGTGTGGGTAGGAAGGCCAAAGACTGAAACAGGATTCTCATCATCTACCCTCAAACTATGAATTTCTCTCTAATTCCAGCGTTGGTTAAATTCCATGTCCACAAAACATTTGAAGTAAGATCCTCTAATTTAGTTCATTTAATTATTAATTTTACTGATGGTTGACTGTGGAGGTGCTCTGGTTTTGTAAATAGACTAACGAGACACAGTTCTTACTTTTAAGGATCCTCCAGTCTCTGAACCTGAGGGTTCGGTTTGGTTTCATTTTTTTGTGGATCCAGTATTTCGCCAAATGACGCAACCTGTTAGTGAGGATCTGCTCTGGGGTGCTTAGGAGCAGTTACCAATCTTTATGTATTTTTTCCTTGAATTCAGAGTGGCCAGTGCTCACTCAGGGAGATACAGCAATTCATCCTCATCACCAACAGAGAAAGCCTTTTTTCCTGGTTGTCAAGATCTTTTCACCTGGTTGAGATGAAGTCATCATCATTTGAGGGACATATTTGTCATTC